CTAGGGGCGGGGTAGGTCGAGGTAGGTCGAGGTAGAGCGAGGTAGAGCGAGGTAGAGCGAGGTAGGGCGAGGTAGAGCGAGGTAGGGCGAGGTAGAGCGAGGTAGGGCGAGGTAGAGCGAGGTAGGGCGAGGTAGGGCGAGGTAGGGCGAGGTAGGGCGAGGTAGGGCGAGGTAGGGCGGAGCGGGATTAGGGCGGGGTAGGGCGGGGGAGGGTGAGGTGCAACCAGCAGCGGGTACCGCCGCGGGGGACGGGCAGGTGCAACAGGCGCCCACTTCACCATAGCCCACCCCGTCGCCGCCCCCCACTTCACCATAAAGTGCCACAAGACACGCGAGCAAGCCGGGATGAATGGACAGACGGGGACACATCATACGCACCGGTCCGGAGAGGGATCGGGGAGAATGGGCGAGGAAGTGGGCGGAAGAACGGTAGGAGAAAAGAGGGAAGGGAGGACAGGGAGAAAGGGGGTGAGGGGGAGTGGGGTAACCGGAGCTGCCCCCCCCCACCCCACCCCACCCCACCACTGCGGATGGGGGGTGGAGAAGTGAGGGATACATAGCCTTCCAGGGTTCCTCCTCGTACGGTGTACGGTGTACCGGGTAATACGCAGCAGTGTTGCGGGATTGCATACTCAATATGGTCGCAGGGGCCAAGGCCCCTTACGAGTGTAAAGAGTAGGTAAACCAGCAACACTGCTGCGTATTCACAGTTACACCCGGAAAATATCGTGCCTTCTCTCTTCCACCAAGCGGCAGAGCCCAATGTCTACGACGTGGACGGGGGAGCGCAATCGCAACTGCTGTGCGTGCGGAATCGTCCTGTGGACGGTTCGTCAAAAGCGCTTTACCAGAGGCTGGGGCCCTACTTGCCGTCCCCATGCCATTCCAGGCCTAGGATAACAAAGATCCCCCCCCCCTTCCGTGGCCGTCTCCGTCCCCGGCGATATCGACCGACTCGCGGTCTCCGTGGCGCGGGAGGCCTGCTGCTGAACATGACGTGTCCGCCACTCAGCCCGGTACGTCCAAGGACCACGGGTATGTCGCCCTGGAGGCGCCCCTCATCTCCTACCCCCAAACTGAACCTCAGCCTCAGCCCCTTCGGCCCGCGGGCGCCTGGCTTGGTGAACTAGAGGGGGGATACAAATCAGCTTCATGGAAAATGGGGGGAGGCGAGGGGTAGGAGTAGTAGGATACTCCCACGAGTGAAAAAAGATATTCGCACACAGGAAAATAGCGTCGGTCTCGGAGGATAAAGAGCGGGGCGAGTAGGGGGGAGGCACTACTTTGCCTTCCAATGGAGACCAAAATCTTTGGCTGGCTGAAACTACACTCGAACGCGTGGACCCGGGCAAAACAAGGATATCACGGGTCAATATCGACAAAGAGACGGCCAGTAACTTCTGCTACGACACCTTAAACAAGGGAGTAATATGTTGCTTCGTTAACGTCACCAACGTCACGCAGACTGAGAATCGAGAAATTGACACTTGCGGCAGAGCCGTTAAAGGAAACTTAGGGTGGGGGTAGATGGGGGGCGGGGAGTTGATTAGGCGAGCTGAGAGCGGTGCGTTCCACCCCAACCCTCTAACTTGCATTCGCCAATGAAAACTATACAGCGAAAATA